AAATGTTTTGTGAAATTCCATTTAATTTGGCCTCTGTGGATTCATTTTTTCAGCAGAAGATGCAAATGGAGCAAAGCATTTTGTTCCCAGTTCATTCTGACATTTGGTGGAGTTCAGATTTGAGGATTTTGCTCTTTCAAAGTGGAAAAATATCACAGATTAAAATAGGGAATTCCAGAGATTCTTGGATTTTGTGTCACACTTTTCTCAGTTCTCTGTTTCCCATCATCTCCCAGTTTTCCAAAAATATCAGAAGTCCCTTTCCAGCAGACAGGAGGAGGGGACCTTCCTCATGTCCTGGAGAACACTCAGATGTTGTTCCTGGCCCACTGCAGCTCCATCTGTGGGATCATTCCTGGTGCCACCCAGACCCATCCTGCACCTCCAGGGCTTGGTTCCTGGGGCTTTGTGGCTGCCATAAACCACAGAAATTAAAAAAAACCAAACCTTTTCCACCCATTCCTGACACAGGAACGGAGCAGAGCCAGCACAGGCTGGGATAAAGCACAAAAATCATCTGGAGCTGCTCTCTTCCCCTCACTGCCAGAGTGGTTCATGAATTCCGTTGTTTTCTAATTCAGAATTTATAATTCTGGAACTGAGCAGATGGTGCAGGGCTGATTTCAGGGATGTGTTCATTAAAATAACCTCTGCCAAGTGATTGTTCACCACAATCCCCACCGCAGATCAATTATTTGTTCCTGCTCTTGTTATTCCCTCTGGAAGCAGCAGAGCTCTGAGGAATGGACACGATCTGGAGGGTGAAGTTCCAGCAGTGGTGCTGCAAATATTCCAGAGGAAAATCACTTTGGGAGAGAAGGGAAAACGCAGGGAAAGATAAATTGTGGAGCAACACAATTGTCAAAGCTTAGAAAAATTTCAATCCTTCATTCAGTTTGGAAGCTCGGTTCCATTTAAAATGTGGCTCCAGCCAACTTTTACCTCAAAACCTCTTCTACCTTCCACTATTTTAGGTGGTTGAGGAGAAAAATGGTAAAAAAATACATTATTGAGAACAGGATTCTGCTGAAGCCAAATGCAAATCTTCCCAGTTTTCCCCATTTTACATAATTTCATCTTGTTTTCCTCTGGGTGCTCCTGCAAATAACAAAAGGTTTTGATACAGTGGAAGCCATCATCACCTACGTGCCTTTTCCTTGGAGATCTGTTCCAGGTGGGATGGTGGCTGTTCCTGGGGGAGTTTCTGGTTGTAGACGAAGGAAGAAAAGTGTTTGGAATTGTTTCATTTAGAGTTGGGCTTCAGCAACTGGAAAAGGAGAAAATGGAGACACAGGCAGTGAATGTTCACTCCCAAAATTGTCAGTATCAGTGGGGAGATCGGTCCCCTGATAAAAGCAGCAAAGGGAGTTGAACATCAATTGCAATCTGCTCTTTTCTGCTTTTTTCTTCTTTGTTTTATCTCACGAGGAGTTGAAGACTTGCTCCAGATCAGAAATGGGGAAAATATCTGAGAGTGGAAATTTTGGAGAATGAGGAAAGCAAACAAAGTGAACAGCTCAGAACTCAGTGAATTTGATACCTGGATTTCTTCTTCTGTTCTTGCATTCTCAGGGGTCTGTTAGTAACTATTTTGCATTTATAATACAAAAATTACAAGGGGATTTGTGAATACAGCCAGAGTTGGGCTTTAGCACCTTTTTGTGTAGCTCATGTCTAAACTTCTGCACCCAGTGAGAGCTGAGGTACCCCACACCAAAACTCCCCCCACCCATCCCAATTTCTGCAGCAAAATCTCATCTCTGCCTGTTGTCCTTCCTTTTTTGAGCAGAGGGGGAATGGATTTAGTGGCAAAAGCCCAGAGCTGGCAGCTCAGGTCCCTCCCTGCACAAAGGGAAGCTGCAGAACCTCCCCTGCGTGTCCAGGGACTGTCAGGACAGCAGAAACCCCCTCCTGCCAGTCCAAAAGGGAAGCAATTAATAAAGAAAGGAGCTGTGAAGTGGGAAGGGATTATTGAAGAGAGAGCAAAGGCAGCTGCACAGCCTGGTGGGCTTGGGAAGGTGGGAAATGCAGGAGTGCAGCCACAAATCCCTCAGCCAGCAGGGTTCAGCTGTGGCTGGGCCAGCCTGGCTTTAGCCTCTCTTCATAATTTTATTTATGACCAATGTGATCCAAACCCTCACAGTTCCTGTCCCTGAGAGCTCAGGGCTGGTCCCAGGGGTGAGGACTGAGCAGGACCTCAGGCTGTGGGGAAATGGGGTCTGGATTTCATTCCAGCTGGGGAAACCCAAGCCCAGCCATTTCTGGGCTTTGCTTGCCTGGTAAATGTCCAGGTTGGTGTTGGGGCAGCTCTGCAGGAGTGGATGTGGGAACAGTGCATCCCCTTGGAGTCCCCCTTCTGCCTGGGATTTGCCAAATTCCCAGAATAAACTGGAGCTCCTGGTCCTGCAGAGCCCCAGAGCTCCCCTGGTGCCCAGAGCTGAGTCCAGCTGTCATTCCAGAGTCCCTTGGGCTGGCAGGGACAACTGTCCCCAAGCTGGCCATCAGCACAATCCCAGGGCCATGGGCAGCGTTTGCAGCAGGTCCCTGGAGGGGCAGGGCCTTCCCATTGCTGGGATTTATTGGTTTATAATTCATTTTTTGGGGGGTGCTTGGGATCTGGGGGAAGCTCCCGGGGAAGGGACAGCAATGCTGTCCCCACTTTGGGAGGGACAGCCCAGGATGCTCTTTGAGCACAAATCCCATCAAGGAGCCCATCAGGGCAGGAAAACAGCACAATTAATTTGCTGCAGATCATTTACTTAATGCATTTAACCCTTTAAAAGTTTTTTTTCCCCTGCACACATATTCCAGCTCCCTCAGATGTATTTATTTCTCACACCTACCTGGCTGCTTTCTCTTGAAGCCTTCAGCCCACACAGGGAGGGTTCCAGAGCTGTTTCCTCCTTGCATTGTAGGATAAATCCCTGGCAAATCCATGGGGTGGGAGCTGAGGAGCACCAGGTGTGTTCCTGCAGGGGAAGCAGCTGAATCTCAGGTGCAGATGAGAATTTCTCTGAAACTTGCTCCCCACAGGTACCAAGAGCTGAGAAATGAGGTGTATTTTCAGAGAGAGATCACTGAAGGCACAGGGAAAGAGACAGAACAAAAACTTTTTGTGAGAACAAAAGCAGGGCTGTAAAATCCCAGCTTTTACTCAACTCTAAATCAGTGCCCTACAGCTGGCACGAGGCTCTGAACTTAGATTTGAAGGCAAAGGCTGCAGGGTATGGAAAACCCCATGGAACACAAAGGCCTGGCAGCAGAGGACACCCTTAACAGACTCCTGGAGATGTTGGGAATATTTTAGGAATGATGTGCTGGTACCTGAGCAAGCCATGAGCTGGCACTCCCTGTGCCAGGGGTGCTCTTTCCTCCTGTCCTAGCAGTCCTCTTTCCCCACAGGGTAAACAGCTGGAAGTGCTGAGCTCACTGCCAGAGGCTTCAGACAGACACTTTGTGCCACAGACACCCCGGGACACCTTAATGACTCCTCTTTAGCTTAATGAACCTCTAACAATCGGCACCGCCTGCTCTTGCTGCTCTTGCTCCACTCTGGGACGGCCGCAGAACACGGAGGAAGGTTTGGATCCTTGGGTGTCCCAGTCCCTGTCCAGCTGGATCCTTGGGTGTCCCAGTCTCTGTCCAGCTGGATCCTTGGGTGTCCCAGTCCCTGTCCAGCTGGATCCTTGGGTGTCCCAGTCCTTGTCCATCTGGAACCTTGGATATCCCAGTCCCTGTCTGTCTGGAACCTTGGATCTCCCAGTCCCTGTCCATTGGTTGCTCCACTCTGGGACGGCCGCAGAACACGGAGGAAGGTTTGGATCCTTGGGTGTCCCAGTCTCTGTCCAGCTGGATCCTTGGGTGTCCCAGTCTCTGTCCAGCTGGATCCTTGGGTGTCCCAGTCCCTGTCCAGCTGGATCCTTGGGTGTCCCAGTCCTTGTCCATCTGGAACCTTGGATATCCCAGTCCCTGTCTGTCTGGAACCTTGGATCTCCCAGTCCCTGTCCATTGGGATCTTTGGGTGTTCCAGTCCCTGTCCAGCTGGAATTATGGATATCCCAGTCCTTGTCCATTGGGAACCTTGGATATCCCAGTCCCTGTCCATTAGGATCTTTGGGTGTTCCAGTCCCTGTGCATCTGGATCCTTGGATATCCCAGTCCTTGTCCATTGGGAACCTTGGATATCCCAGTCCCTGTCCAGCTGGAATCGTGGATCTCCCAGTCCCTGTCTGGATCCTTGGATATCCCTGTCCATTGGGAACCTTGGATATCCCAGTCCCTGTCCAGCTGGAATCGTGGATCTCCCAGTCCCTGTCTGGATCCTTGGATATCCCGGTCCCTGTCCATGGTCCTGAGCTGCCCCAGGTGTCAGGGCTCTGTCCATGTCCCATCTGTGGCAGAGCCTTTGGCATTCCCGAGGTGTCCCGGGTGGATTGTGTCCCACAGTGTCCCTGTCTGACCTGCTCCATCAGTTCCAGCTCTGTTCTCTCTTCGTGCCTGTCTCGTTGGAGTCTGTTCAGTGTGAGGTCAAAATGTCTCTGCTTGTCTCTGACATCCAGTCTGTGACTCGTTGGGAGCACATTTTAAAAATTCCTGATCCTTGTTTTGAAGTGCTGGAGTTCCAGGGGATGTTTGAGGGAAATACCTGCACATTCAGTGCCGTGGCCATGCTGGGAGCCAGCATCCAGCTGGGAATTCCTGCAGGAGCATCCTCCAGCCCACACTCAGGCAGTGCAGCTCACCTCAAACCCAGAAGCTTGTGTTTCTGAAACCCAACACCTGAAACCCAACAGCTTCTTGGATTTCAGGGATTGCTTTGGCTGCTCCACACTGAAGGTTTCATTCCCAAAGCAGGGATTCACATTTTTTAATGTGGGATTTGGATATTTGGAAGAATCACTCTCTTAAATATACTTTGGAGTTTGCAAGATCTCATTTTCCATTTTCCATCAGTTTGGCCTTTGCCCTGGCACTGACAAAGGTTTGTGTTCCCCTGCCAGGTACACGGTTTTACACAACGGGCACCACCAGGAACAAGAGAAGCTTCCCATCCACACTGACCCTGAATCCCAAGAGTCCTGTTTCTAGTCCTGGCCCAGAAGAGGAGGAACAGAGGCCTTTGAGGATATCCTAAGGATTCACAGACAGCAGGACTTGAAAATCCATCCATCTGCATTGTCCTGGTGCCTCCTGCAGTGAATTCCCAGGAATGCCCAGCTGTGGGAGCTGGCTGGGAGCATGGGGAGGGTCAGGACTGCTGTCCCTGTCCCTGCAGGAGCAGCTGGAGCTGTGCCAGAGCCCTGCTCCAGGAGCAAGGCATTCCTGGCAAAGCCAGGACCAAAACAGCTCCAAACCAGCCTGTGCAGGGTCTCCTGCTGCTCCTCTCCAGCTGCCCCCTGCTCAGCTCAGCCCATCCTGGAGGTCCCAGCTGTGGGGTGGCACCGAGCTGCTCCCTCCCTGCTAGCTCTGCCTGGAGCCTGGGCATTGCCAGGAGAGGAGCAGCCCCACGTTTTCTCCAGGAGAACAAGAGGAAATGTTTGCTGCCCTTTGGTTCCAGCCCCAGCTGCTGCTTCCCCCACCCTGCAGAGCTCTGGGGTGGCCTGGTGGTGTTTCCTGGCCAGGGAGGATGCCAGGGTGTGCAGGAGCTGAGTGGGACCAGCCCAGCTCAGAGCCATGGCCCTGCTCTGCCATTGCCAGGGGATGGGACGTGCCCTGGAGCCCAGAGCTGTCCCCATCCCTCCCCTGAGCAAACTTTGGGCATTCTGAGGCAGCAGAAGCTTGGGCAGGAGCCAGAGCCAATGGATCACTAAGTGCCATCTTGGAAAAAAACCACCTAAACCCTTTTCTAGCTACATTTGGAAGAGAGACTTCTACTTACCTTTGCCACCTTTATTTTTCTATTTGTTGCTGCTCTCTTCCAGTCGAGGCGAGAAGTTTTCCAGACTCTCCAGTCTCACATCTGCAAAGATCTCAGTCCTCAGCTGCTTCCTGCATGTCGGTGTTGCCACGTTCCTCATGGGCTGCTTCCCCCTGTGCATGGAAAGGGTGGGCAAGGCTCGAAACTCCACGAATTTGGGAAAAGGATTTTCATGCAGGATCAAGACCACGAGCCTCGACCCTTTTTAGGTGAAGATCTACCCCAAGATGTCACCCTGAGCTTAGAAAATACAATTGTACTTTGTCATATCATGGAACCATGTACAGATATTTTTAATGTACAAAGAAAAGCTGACATTATTTATTATTTTTTATCAGGAACATGTGGTTTTTTCATTAAAAGCTTCTAGACCAAGGAGCTTAACATACTATGTATTATTATTTAGTAATATTTCTGTTGCTATGTGACAGGTATTTACTGCAAACAGACGAATCACGCTCGGAACAAACAAAAATGTTGCTCAGTAGGAGAAATATTGTGCATGAGAAGAACAAGTGGCTTCCTGGCCATGGTGTCTGACTTATTTAAATACTTCTTCCACAGCAAAGTCACTGATAAACTTCACATCTTTTTCCTGTAGGATTCAGAAGGACACTGGGCAGAAACAGCCCCAGCTGGAATGCTGAGGTAGAAAATTGCTGGCTGCTGGAAAGGCACAAATTATTGATGTTTGTGGTGGAAGGTGCTCCTGGTTGGCAATGACCTGTTTTTACAGGGTTTTATCTCAAAAAAATTCATGTAACTTTACTCTTGACACCAGAGGTGTGGAGTGAAAAAAAGCCATTATTGAAAATTTGGAAAAAACCCATCCAGGGCTGCTTCAGTGCTGTGATCCTCCCCCTGTGGAAGTGCCCACGGGGGTTTGTTGGGCTTTGGGTGCACGAGGCTGTAGAACAGCTTGGCTTGGTTTCACCCCAAGTGTCAAATTTCTTAAAGAAATCCTCAAAAAAAGCTTTTCTCTGTCCTCATTGAAGGGCATCAGATCTTGGTGTGAAATTTCCTGGAGTGAGATGGAACCAGCAGCACAGGGAGGGGTTCTTTGGTTCTGCTTTGTCCTTCAGGCGTTCTTTTCTCCTTTATTTTTATGTGCATTAGGAAAAGATCTCTTTTTAATTTCAAATAAACTGCCAGTTTCCCCAGGGAAACATTCCCAAGGCTCTGTCAATGGGAGCAGTGGCTCACCAGCCAAAATGGTCAAAAGCTCTCACTGGGAAAAGGCTCCCCCCCTCCAAATGGATGGAATTCCAAACACCAAATGTCCATATCCTGTGTCACCTCTAATTCCTCCCTGGGCTCAGCAAACCTGTCAGGAACCACCTGGCAGCTCCTGCTCAATAATCCCAGACAGCTTCTGTGAGCCAGCAATGGCACTGTGCCATCAGCAGTGGAGAATTCCCCTGGAAAAAGGAGGGGTTTCATGGAAAGCCCCACTCTAGAATTCCATGGCTGCTCCTGTGGCCTCCCAGTGCAGCTTTGCCCATCTTGGCTGCTGGTGCCAGTCCTTGCCTGTGCTCAGTGGTGTGTGCTGCAGTGGCTGTTCCTAAAAATAAAAGCTCCTCTCTGGACATGGCAGCGAACTCCAGCTTGGGCTCATTTCTGGTGCAGGGTGGGAGCAGGTGGCACCTCCCAGCTGCCCCACAGGAGGCTCCAGGAGCTGGAACAGGGAGGGGATCTGCCCCTCTTTGCTTTTCCTACAACTCCTGCCAGGAGGGGACAGCCGGGGGGTCGGGCTGTGCTCCAGGGAACAGGGACAGGAGCAGAGGGAACGGCCTCAGGCTGGGCCAGGGCAGCTCAGGGTGGGCACAGCAGGAATTTCCCCATGGAAAGGGTGCTCAGGCACTGGAACTGCCCAGGGAGCTTTGGAGAGCCACAAGGGCCCCCTGAGCCTCCTTTTCTCCAGGCTGAGCCCCTGCCCCAGCTCTCTCAACCTCTCCTGGGGCTCCAGCCCCTTCCCAGCTCCCTTCCCTTCCTTGGACGTGCTCCAGCCCCTGCAGGTCCCTCCTGCCTGAGGGCCCAGAACTGGACACCCCTGGAGGTCCCTCAGCAGTGCCAGGACAGGGGACAGTCCCTGCCCTGCTCCTGCCTGTCCCCGTGCTCACAGGAATTTGTTCATTCCCAATTCTGATTTATTTGAGTCCAGGAGCCCCCACCTTGTCCCGGCCCCTTACCTGGAGGATTCTCAGGTCCCTGTGGAGCTGCTGATGGGATCAGAGCCATCCAAAGGGATTCGTGTGAGAAATGAAAGCCAAGGGTGCCCTGGATGTGGAGCAGTGTGGATCCCCTGCTCCAGAGACACTTTTTTAGCAAACTCTGCTCCTCCAGGGGTGTCTGTTCCACCAAAGGACCCTTCAGGGAGGATGGACACTGGGAATGTGTCACTGAAAACCTGCAGAGCTGACAGGTAAATGATGCTCACCTTGCTTCTGGCTCACCATGGCTTTGATTTTACCTCATCTGCTTCTCCTGTGCCCTGCTGGGCTCCAGAGCTGTGAACAATCAGCAATGCTGTATTAGCTACATAAACGCTGGTTTTGCATTTCCAAATACTCTCAGTGCAGGGGTTACTGACAGATATCTTCAGCCTAAAGCTCATCTCACCCAAGGTCGTGGCTTTAGGATGGAGCTCACTCCCAGCTGGCCCTGCTCAGCAAGAGAAAGGAGAATCAAAGGTGTTTAAGGCACTTCTTTGTGCCAGCCTGACTTAATAACGTGCCCAGAACCAACCAGTGGGGCCCAGATCGTGTCCAGCTCGTTCCCAGCACAGATGAAAAGCAGGGAGCAGCTCCAGCCAAGAGCTGGTTTGGGAGCAGGCAGCCCACACAGGCTCTGAGTCATTGCCAGCCAGCTCTGGGAGTGCTGAAGCCAAGGAGAGCATTTCCATTCTGTACCTGGCAGCTGGGAACCCTTCCCCAGTTTAGGATCCCCTTTTTTTCCACATTTGAGTTCCTGAGTGATCTCTGAGCACTCCCAGACCAAAAGGCAAGAAATCTGCAGGGGATTAATAATACAAACTCAATAAAAATATACCAAAGCTTTTAGTTCTTCACTTTTTGTATAAACCTTCCTGAATAAATCCCCAGTTTATCTCCTGCCAACCCCCAGGGAATGCTGAGGAGCTGAAGGGAGCTCTCCAGGTGATGGGCCCTGGCTCTGGCTGTCCTGCTGTCACACGCAGTGCACACAGGGCCAAGTGTCCCTGTCCCACCCTGACCAGAGGGTAAGCTGGAATTGCTTAACTGGGAACTGAAAGTGGAAATCCTGGGCAAGGGGATCCTCACACCCTGAGCAGCCTGGAGAGGGAGCAGGGGCAACATTCCTGTCTCCATCAACCCCTTACAGCTTCTCAAACAAAAACACTTCCAAAACCCTTTCCTTTTGAAACCCAAGCACTGATTTTGCCCTCCACCCAAAGGAGAGGGAAAAGCACCCCCAGCACAGTGAGCACGAGGCTGTGCCCTGTGCTGTGCCCAAACACACCCTGGCCTTTCCCTGTTCACCCTCTGTACTATTTAGATGACATTTCCAGGCACCTGAGCCTCTCCCAGCTGGGATCTCTGCATCCTCTTCCAGGAGGAGCTGTGGGAAAAGCAGTGCCAAAGTCACCTCGGGCTCACTCCCAGCCTGAGGAACCACCAGCACCTGCTCATTGCTCCTCAGGGATTGTAAGAGGAGCCCCCTGTGACTGAGCTCCTGCACAGAGGGACACAAACCCCACCAAGATTGCACTTCCCAGTGTGGCTGAGCCAGAGCTGACCCAGGGAAGAAATTCCTGCTCCATGTTTTCCCCAAAGCCACACGCAGGGGGGAAGCAGGGCACAGAGGTGGTGCAGTCACATCTCCTCTAGCATTCCTTACCTCGCAGCTTCAGTGCTGGCCAGGCTGCCTTTGGAGCTCCCTCTGGCACCCAGGTGCCAACATCCCTGCTCTCAGGGCTCTGATGGATCCCAGCCTGGCCCCACAGCAGAGCTGAGGCCCAGCTGGAATTGCTGTGCTGCAGGAGGAGCAGGATCTGTGCCCTCCCCTGCAGGGACAGCGCTGCTCCTCCTGTCACACACCAGGCACAGGAGGCAGGAGAAGCCTGGCACAGAAACATCTGGGATGCTCCAAGGAGAGCTGAGCTGGGCAGAGCCAGGGAAAGCCTCTCCTGCCG